TATATATATATATATATATATATATATATATATATATATATATATAATGTAAAATTCACTATACTAGGTAATCCAAGATCTTTGTTTTTTTCTTCTGGTACTATGTCTTCTAAGGAATACCGTGGTAGATTCAAATTCTTTGATTTACTTCCGACCTCTATTAGGAAGGTTTCCGATTTTTCATTATTGCTAACTACTGTCTTCTGTGTTAGAAATTCCTCTACTATATCATTGATTGCCACGGGACCTTCAGTTGTCAAATTATTTTCCGAATTTTCATTATTCAATGTCGTTTGGACCGTGGGTCTGCATGTCAAGCCATTATATAGAGTCAGTGAATTACGTATCGATGATCGTAACCAATTATCACTAATTAAAATTAGAAACATATTTGATTTAAAAAAATTAGTTAAAATATAATTTACAATAATTTTACTTACAGAAGTTTGACATGAAAAAGTCCAAAAATAAAAACTAACGTAGCCACTGAAGCTACTAAATAAATAAACATTTTTTATATGTTCATAAGAAGCATAACACTTCAGTGAATCATTTTGTCAATTGACTACAGTTTTTGGCAAAAGACGCTCAATTTAGCCTACTAGGATTTATTGCGTGGATCTAAAACAAGATAACAAAGTAAAAATTGTATTTTTCTTCTATTATAGTAGCGACGAAATAACATAAAAAATTTCTATGTTAAATTTACTTGTTAACAATTTACTTTAATTATAGGATGTTTTATTCATCAGAAAATTTAATCAAAAAATTATTTAAATATCTAGGATATTTAATGAATTCACATTTATGATACTTAAATTTATTCACATTTAAAATTCACAATATTCACAAATGAAGAAACTCCTCTGAAATATCGTATTCATGAAGACGTCCCGCTTTTTATTTTTCCTCCTTTCATGATAAGACTGGGCATAATAGAAGATACGTTGTTTCATATTTTATGCAAAACAATTATATAAAAATTCTAATATTTATAAAAATAATTGTCTAGCAAATTATTCAACTATATTATCAACCATTTTCTGACTATTTATTTTAGAAAAACAACAGTGAAGTTTGAATTTAATACATTTCAAAAGATATTAAAGATAACGAAATATTTTTATATACTATCATATAGATACATTCAAATACTTTGAAAATTAATTTCCATAAACTTGTACATCAATTACATATTTTGTTATACAGTCTTATTCCTTGCATTTTTTTACGCTATAAAAAAAATTTTTTATGTTACTATGAAGCTATTTGCAACGTATTTATTTTAATTTTTTGTTCCAAGTAATCATTCAATTACATTTCATTCAGCAAATGTATTTACATCTGATGTTTGATATTGATATAAAAAGTTATTATTGTACAAATACATATATACTACTCAATTGAAATAATTGAGATGTCTATTATTAATACTTAAAAACAGTATTAAAAATGCAATCAACTATGTAATAAAATGTCCACAAACGAAAAATATGTATTCTCAAACGTGTTTATTTAAGCAACAAAGAAAGATAGCAATATCCAACATCAGACCATAGCTGGGATTAATGTCCTGGTATTTACGTATATACAGAAGAGTATCCCAAGGAAAATAAAGACGTATCAAAACTAGATCATAAAATGTGTATATAAAAGTTCACATTTAATGATTAACAAATCTGATGCATTGCACAGATTGTTGTATTTATGTTATCAAACGATTTATATATGCATATGTATATATACGTGTATATTTATATATGTATAAATGCTATTAGATTGCTCTTCAATATTGTGTATTCTTCCATAGAACATTTAGAACGAGCAATACAAATTCGTATGTTTGCTTTTGTTCGGTTGTTTTTTTACACAAAAAGCATAGCATAAAAAAAATTAATTCATGAACATTTCAAACGAACACTTTGAAAATTATAAATATTAGACCTCCAATATGCTAACATTTATAAACCAATAATAACATATATGCTAGTTTTCTTACAAACCACGAATAAAGTACAAATTACTTGAACTTACAATAACAATCAATTTTTTCTTAAGATATCCTTTAAAACATGTAAGATAATGTTTAATTTCAACTATAGTTTTCAATCATAAAAAAAAGCATTTCTGAATGGAAAGAAAAAAAAGCTACCATTGCATGCACATTCATAAAACCGTGATATACAAAAGAAGTTCAATTATTTCTATTATTTTCGCTTAACTTTTTTTTTCTTTCTGATACAGAAACTTGTATCAAATATAATTTAATGTGATCAATAAATCTATTGCGCTTTTTTTTATTGTATCTAGTAGCACTTTTATAAAACTGACCAAAATTGTATAGACGGTAAAATGCGGAAGGTACCATACTTGCTAGAAATTTTTTATTGATTATACTTAAAGTACAGATTTAAAACAATGTAACATTATAATAATATAACTTCAACTTTCATAAAATTGTGAAGTATATATACACACGTATTAAATCTGTGCTTTAGCTATAATTTTACATTGTTTATTCTTTCACTTTATAAATTACTTACATTTTTTAGTCAGCTTATTAAAAGAATTGTTTAAGCTAAAATGTATTAAGACAAATATAATAAATGTTTGGTGTACAGCTTTTGTGAAGTCATATATATATATATATA